CAAGTAGCCCTCCACCAGGGAGCTCGCCACTAGGTAGTTCGCCACCAAGCAGTTCGTCACCAAGTAGTTCTCCTCTAGGGAGTTCGCCACCAAGTAGCTCATCACCAAGCCACGTCACCACCGGGTCAAACAACGAGGTACTTAGCCAAAAAATTTATACATCACAAAAAATGGTATGTAACCAAAAACGGTTACATCAATAGAAAACATAAAATATATAATATACATAAAATATATAAAAATATATGTAAATGATTGATTCGATTAACCGCCAATTTCCGAAACTAAATCGATAACTTTGGTTTTTTAAAAATACCAAACTGACTGATTCGACTACCTAGATTTTTAGTTCAGTTCGGTTTTTCAGTTTTTCATGCTCACCCTTCAATCTCATGAGTACTCGATCCAATTTCCTTTTTTTTTCCACCTCGCGTTGACAGCCTTTTTAAATGTGTAAAATGTACAACAATAAAGTTGAAAACACCTTATGAATCAGAAACATCAAAAAGTTATTTTTATCRAAGATTACTTTCATATGATCTTAACTAAGGGCCTGTTCGGTGTTTTTGAATACTAGTTGTACCACTTCAGGGAAAAAGTGGTCGTTTAGGTACAATCCAAACAGTTAGCGAATATATTCGCTTAACTGTCGAACAATTTTACCCTTTTAACGTTATTTAAGTGAAGGAACCCATTGGACCCACCACCTTGCCATTAACAATTTTCAATGATATTAATTAATAATTAATAATTAATCATAATTATTAGGAATTAATAATATAATAATAATCATTAATAAGAATATTCATGATATGTAATTAATAATAACTACTTAAGAATAATACTATTAATTAATTAATGAATAATTGATTCATAATAAATGATATTAATTATTAATTAATAATAACGCATAATAATAATAATATCAATTCAATAATTATTAATTAGGAATTAATTAATATTATTAGTGATGAGGGCAGATTTGGCCCTCCAGTGAAATTGCGACACGTGGCACCTCGTGACAATTAGGCAAGCACCCAGGCAACAACTTACCAAGTTGGTGTCC